TATGAAGTTACTAGAAAAAAAAGCTAGAAATGTTCAGGACTCTGGAATGGGCAAGGGTACTTCGCATAAGACCATTTTTTAAAAGCACAGGCAACCAGAGCAAAAAGAGACCAGTGGAATTACTGTCTGCTCAGCAAAGGAAATAGAGTGAAGAGATGGCCTAAAGGAGGAGAGAAAAATATACGCGAAGTGCGTCCCTGTGGTAGGTTACCTTGCCTGTTAACCTGGTCAGCCTCTGAGACACTTGGATTAGCAGAGCACTCCTGTTGGCACATCCGGGTGGGCTGTAGGGTTGTGACCTCGGCACTATCACTTGGTCCCCACTCCCTCTCTCCTTGGCCCTTCTTTGCGCTCCGCCATGACATTTCTCCCTTGGGAGCTGCTAGCTGTGGGCTGAGGCCTCTGAGTCTCTAAGCCAAAGAACGCTCTCCTCCATTAAGTTTTGGGTACCAAGCACAGTGTTTTGTCCCAGTGATGGAAGGCTGACCAGTACAGTAGCTGCTGAGGTGCTGACACTAGACTTTGGAAGGAACTCCATAGCAAAAAGTAAACCACCCTCACAAGTAAGCCACCTTCAAGCAGAGCAGCGGAGAGCGAAGCCCGGAGAAGAGCAGAATGCCTGAGTGGCACACCGACCTCCCAGCTCTCCTCAGCATGCCCCTGCAGCCCGCCTGACGCCTGCTCACCGCCCAGCGCAACTCCACTGTGGCCACCGTGGCAGGTTCCCACTTGAACAAGGCATCACGTAGTTGTGCAAATTCCTGCCTCAAGCCACATGTCTCTGGGTTGGTGGCTGGGAAAGGACTGCACTGCAAGGGCCACACTCTTGACAGCAAGCCATGAAGTTTCCATGGCTCTAGTGCTGTCCAGTCTGAAGGCTCCAACAGTGATGTGTACTTTGTCCCCACTGCTATCTGGTGACTTCTGTGAAGATACTCATAATCGGTTATTGTGCAAAGTTTTCGAGTGTAACGAAGCCTGCAGAGGCTGAGTCAAGGCACACCTGTAATGAAAGGGGCGTAACATGCAGCCTGCACCTTGCTGCAGAACACAGCAGGAGTGTGCCGTCGTGGGGACAGATGGGCACCCTCTGGCTGGCCTGCCAACAGCGTCCCTGGCCCTGTCCTGTAATACCGTGACATGGGAGCAGACAGTAGGCAGGTGGAGGCTCATCGTGGGCCTCTGTGGATGTCAGAGTCAGGATGACGGGCAAGTGCTGAGGTCGTGCTACCTCACCGAATTCAAAGTAGGACGCTGTGGAGGGCCCTCTGTGGGAGGTCATGACCCGTATGCCTATGTCATGGATGTCAAGACTTCGAAGATAGCAGCTTCTGATCCTGAGCCCGTTCCTGGGTCCTGGGATGGTGCAGGTGGCCACACCATCTTCAACATAGAGGCCATGGCGGAGAAGGATGGTGTGCAGTACACCGAGGAGGCCATCAAGCACGTAGAACTAGCCCCACATCCACTCCTGTGATCCCAGGGGGAGCCTGCACAGTGCCACCTCACTGGATTCCGCGCAGCCTCCGACATGAGCCACTTTTGCACCGGCAGTGCCGACTGCAGTTCCAGCGTCCGCATCCCTGGACTGTGGTCAGAAGAGAGGTTCCTTGGGACGCCGCCACCCTCCCACCGCTGTGGCCCCTTTGCCATGCCAGAAGCCCCGATCCGCATGGAGCTTCTTAGTGATGCTTAAGGGGTCCTGCCTGAGCATCCACTTGCCGGCTGCTCTTCACCCCTTCTCTTCCCGATTTCTGCAGCTCTGGGCCCCCCAAACAGGGCGAAGACCTGGAGTCAGGTACAGAGCTAGGCGGGGCTCCATGGCTCCAGTTCTAGTTAGTTTTAGCAGAGCTCGCTGCCAGCTCATTGAGAAGACCCGCGCAGAGGAGGGCTGCTTCTGTCACGGCAAGGGCTCACAGCAGGCGAGAGGGCGACAGCATTCTGTGGCACTGTTTACTCAAACTGTGTATTTAAAAAAAAAAAAAAACCCTGAAAGGATGGCTCATGAATGTTTTTGCCACGAAGAAATGACAAATGGGAGGTGCACGTATGCTATTTGAACACTTTGAAACCTGTATCAAAACATTGCCTGGTACCACGTATGTATAGAAAACATTTATGTCTGCTTTAAGAGTAAAAACTCTTTAAAGGCTGGCCGGATAGCTCAGTGGATTAAAGCACCTCCAGATACAGGGACTGGGGATCCATCCCCCGTGTGCCTGCTGGCCCCGCCCTGGGGCGCACTGACACTTTTGACGGAGACTGGGCAGTGACGCACGCCTGGAATCCCAGTGTTAGGAGACTGAAAACAGGAGGATCACTCTAAGTCCGATTTTTGTAGTGAGACCCTGTAGACCCTGTACTAATACATTAAAAGCAAAAACTCTTTTTAATCTTTTCTACTCCTTTGTTCCCTGCAGTCTTAGTTTTAAATAACAAATGGACTTAAAAGTAATATTTTCAAAAACTTCTCTCCTGAACTCAACCCATGAATCTAGCTGTCTCTTGGTCTTTCTGCTTGGATGTCCCTTAGGAATTTTAAACCTCACCACCCCAGATGCTTGTGTTTCCCTCAGGCTCCCCAGGCATCAGAGCTGCCCACGGCAGCAGCCCGCTGTGCACCTGTTGAGGGAGTGAGCCACCCAGGTATCGAGTGAAGGATACAGCAGGCAAAGGGCACCACAGGGTGTCACGAGTGGACACCAGGAGTGAGTGGCCTGGCTGCAGAGAGGCAGAGTGGCCTCTGCTTGTTCTTGCCCCACATCTAAACCTGATGGCTTTCCCTCAAAAATATGTCCCTGATCATTTCTTACAAACTCTGCTACCGCTACCATGTTAGCTTTGTGGTACTGTAATAAAATGTTAGCTAATGGCTGCAGCCGTTTCCACCATGGTCACTTGGTCCTGACACCTTTGGGCCTGTGGCGAGGCATTAAGTCATGATGGGAGCATGTTACAGAGGGACCTGCTCGCTTTACAGCAGCTGGGAAGCAAAGAGCCTGAGAAAAGGATCAGACTTCCTTCCTCTAGGCCCCGCCTTCTAAAGGTGGCTACCACTGCCCGGCCGCACCACTGCCTGAGGTCCAGGCCTTCAGTGGGCCACAACACAGCAGGTTTGGGCCCCCGGCATTCCTGCCATCTTCTCCTGGCAAGATCAAGTCCTTCCATGCTATAAAGGCCTTGCGCCATCCAGCCACACTCTGCTTTTCCATTGTCACTTCTCCCTCTCCCTCCGCACCCCACCCCACCATCCTAGAGTGCATGCTGGGACCCCTGTACTGTTGGGCTCTTCACCAGCATGCTGATGGTGAGCCTTTCAGAGGCTGAGTGCCAGCCAGCACCACAAGGCCACTTAATACACAGTGCCGATACTGCGATTAAACCTGAACACTGAGGTTTTAATTCAGAAAAAAACCAGCTCTACCTTAACATCTTTTGCCTTGGAAGAAAAACACTAACAGCGTGCCATAGGTCCACCCGTGGCGGCTTGCCTCCTGTCACCTTCATGGCTCCCTCCCCAACCTCCCTGACACCTTCACAGTGGGCCATTATCTGTATGTCTCACTTGGGGCAGCTCTGAACTGCTGGTGACAACTGCGTGCCCGTCCACGAGGCGACATAGTCCCGTTGGGTGGCACAGGCTGTCCAGTGGGAGTCATGCGTGCACCACGGGTGGTAAGGGCCAGCAGAAGGGTGCTGAGGTCTTCACTTGATTAGGCACAACCACACCATCGCATGTACAGTCCATGACAAAAATCTCTGTGAGAAATTCTGTGGTGCCGTTTCTCCTGTACTGCTGTATTGTTTCCCATGACGCTAAGCACTTTTTAAGGAGGACACACAATTTGTTTTTTAAGTATGTTTACAGTGTTCTGTCTCTGCCCCTTGGCTAGGAAAGGGCTTTGGGGCAGTAAATAAATAAAAAGATATTTAGCCTCATTGGTCAGGGAGATAGACCACAGCGAAGGTCCATTTCATAATCATTAAATAGGTTTTCTAAAGAGTCTGATGAAACACATGTCGGCAAGTGTGAGATAGCCAGCACCCTTGAGTCTTACACGCTGCTGGGGGGATGTGGGGCGGTCCAGCTGCCTAGAGCACACTCTGGTGTCACCTCGTGTGGTCGGACAGTCATGTGACCACGGGCGCCCACTCCTAAGGAACTCGGTGTAGTTGCTGTTCCGGGCATCAGTGACAGTCCCAGCAGCTCAGCTCCGCGTGCAGAACCCGGCTCCAAGGCCAGTGCCTGCCCAGCAGGGCGCCAAAAGGCACCGTGTGTTCGCACGAAAGTGACGGAGCAGTAAACGCGAGGACTGGTGATGCACAGTGTAACTCTGATGGAGCCTGGAAACTGGTTTTGGATGAAAAAAGTCATTTTCAAAATACTGTATGTAGAACTGTACCGTTACAAGGCTCAACAGAGGCCACACTAAGTATATTATTTGAAGGTATATACATAGTTATTCTTTAAAAAATTGATGGACCGGCCAAATAGCTCAGTGGATTAAAGCTCCTGCAAGCAGGTGCAGAGGCAGGGGGTTCGATCCCCGGGCCTGCCATGCTGGCTCCACCCCTGGGGCGCACTGAGACAGCAATTGAGACTCGGCGTGGTGGCACACGCCTGTAATCCCAGCTCTTGGGAGGCTGTGAACAGGTGATCTAGTAGTGAGACCCTGAACACCCTGTAGACCCTTCCCTAAAATACAGGGGGAGAAAATTGGGATAATGTTTACCTTAGGGGAAGGAGCGCTTGGGACCACGGTTCCATCCATGGCACCACGAGCCACGCCCTCGGGGCAGGCTGAGCCAGCCAAGAAGAAAAAAAAAAAAAGAGAGAGAATGCAGAATCCAAAAGCATTGTCTATGCCCTAGTTTTGTAATTTAAGGGAGGACTGAACCACCCCATTCCCGCCCTCACAGCTGCAGCAGCGAGGACCCCCGTCCTCCCCTCGCCGCGCCTCCCCTTGCCGTGCCTGATGTCTTCCCTGCTCTCTCCGCAGCACATCATCTACTCGGTGAAGTTTTTCATCTCCTACGCAATTCCAGACGTCTCCAAAAGCACGAAGAGCAAGATCAAGAGGGAGAAGTACTTAACCCAGAAGCTGCTGCACGAGAGCCACATGACCAAGAATCTCGGCATTGTCATCCAGAACATGGCTGGACTGGTGGACAGCAACCTCCGACCCAAGTCCGAGTGAGGGCTTCGGGTCTGAGGAGGCTTGGAAGGATTAGTTCTGTCAAAATAAATTAGGAATCGCTGATGAGAATGTTTAAGTTAAATCACTCTGGCAAATCTGAGTCTCAGCTGTCATCATTTTCATGCATTTTTCAGTTTCAGCTCTTGATGCAAGAACTGAGAAATGCAAAAGTCAGATGGAGAAGGGCATAAAACTCCCCACCTGGAAGGCCTTGTGTTTTGTGTTTTGTTTTGTTTTATAAATTGGCATTCTGGTAACACAGCAAAAGGCTTTGTACTGTGCTTAAGCACCACCCCTCCTAACACAGAGCCGGTTTTTCTCCTTGATCCCTTCTGTTCCTTTCTGTTCGCAAACACGATCCCCTTTATTTTTGGGGAGTGTTGTCTTTCTCCACCTCGCCCGGCTTGCTCCAGAGCTGACTTCTCCGTACGCCATCGTTACTGAGACCAGACGTGCTGCCACCGTAATAGCTTCTGTGTGATGAAAGCGTTGCTAACTCGGAGTTGAGAGCTCTATTAAGTGGCCAAGAACTTCAGGAATTCACGGTATTTAGGTATAGCATTGTACCCAGACAGAAAGGACGCCCTAATAAGTAAGCCATTTGAGGCTTCATTCTAGCCCGTCTTTCCATCTTAGAGAAATGCCCGGAATGGATTGCGGTGCAGACAGCAAGCTCCTGAAGCTTGCGTGTGTGAATCCACAGTGGCACCTTGGATTTTCTAGGAGCAGCCCTAGAAGGTTCTGTGCCTAGTCAGTGTGGACTGCTTTGCAGACCTCGACAGAACAGGATGACAAAAGTCAGGAATTCTAACTCACGTTGATCTGGATAGTTAATTTACCTCTTCTAAAGATATGTAGCTTCTTGCAGAAAAAAATGATAACTGATGGGAATTCCATTCTGATCAGCATGATGCGCTTTGAAGAGAGAAGCCGCTCGGCTGCCCACCAGTTGGTTTTTCTACACTAAATACAGGAAGTGCTTTATTACAGATCACCAAGCGCCTTCGTGGCCGGCTCGTTCAGTGACGGTACCGAGCGTGGTCCGGGAGGTAGCAGATGCCCCAGTTGTGAGCCACAGCTGTGGCCCTTGTGTGGCCTGCGTGGGCTATCGCTGTATGCCACGGTGACAAATATGCCAAAGCACCTGCCACATGCTGAATGTGGCCTCCTTGCACCTTCTGTCCTCATTCTAAGCCCAGTCACTTGGTGGTAATTACATGCTGCTCTAGAGACCAGAATATTGCTCATTGGGTAGGGGTAACAGGAGAATGACTTGGCCACAAACTGTAATGTCATTTGGAGGCCACTTCCTCCACCGCTGTGCCTGTCTTGCCCTCTGTTTACGCGGCCTAGCAGCTTGCCGAGCTTTACTGTTTTTGAAGTGTCAGTGAATAGGGCCGGCACCTCTCCACCACCAGCGCTGGGTGGAGGGGGGTGCGCCTGCATCGTGTGTGGATGGGCCCCTCCCCTCTGGACTGCTGTTAAGTCCCCAGGTGCCCCAGGAGCCGACCCATCCAGAGTCCAGCAGCAGAGCGCGACACGTTTCGGTGCCCCAACACTGAAGGCCTCTGATAATCAAGTAGCTTAACTCCAGGTCATAGCTTTCCGCACCTGCTGTGAATGTTTTCAGGGCATGCAGACCACGGGCATGGTGTCTGTGATTCAGCAAAACAGTGTTCCGGGCTTTTGCCTGTCCCAGTGCATCAGGGACAGCATGTCACTACCTTTCTTGATAATGTACGCTAACAGAATGGCCAGCGTGCCCAGCACAGGCCACACGAGGCCTACCACTCTGGGACATAAAGATAAGCATCTTCCCATCAGAGGGAACTCTGTTCTTGTTGCCTTTAGTCCTCGAGGGGGCAGCACCATGCCCTTGCCCACCCTCGGTGAGACAGCTCCTGGGTGTGTGCCGCCTTTTCTCTTATTACCTCTGCTCTTCTCTGATGCATGTGACGATCTCCTGGTCTTAGCTTCAGCAATGTGTCACTCCGGTGTCATTATGAAAAAGGAAATGCTTATACCTTACCTTGCTGCATAGAGGGTAGATTTGCAAAAGAAATGTGCATTTCTGTGTTCTTAGCCCCAGCTGAGAGATCCCTATTCACAGCTTAAAACATGCTGCGCAGACAGGAACAAAAAGTTCCTCGATGTTTCGGAAGGCGGCACAGGTGACGTCCAACACTGCCAAGTTGCCCCAAATTGCTAAGTTGCCATGGAGACCCAGAGACCTCCCCCCATAATGCCATCGGCAGTGTTCATGTGAGTGTCATGTGGGGCTGGGGAAACGGGGCGCTGCGCCTACAGACTAGGGCTGCATCAATGCAGAGGAGTAGAGGCAGCCCCCAACCCCTAAAACCACAGGCCACGGGCTGTGACCCTAAGCCTATCTGGCGTTAACCACTAGAGAAATTTTATCTTTATCTCCTTTTGTAAAGCCTGTGAACTTTAGTGGATTGAAGCGTTAGACCAAATACTCAGGGTTTTTTTTTTTTTCTTTAAACATCCCTCCGATGTTCTAAATATTTCATTAGAAAGGGAAAGCCATCATTTTTGCTGTAAAACTAAACTAGGCAATCTTGTAAGATCTCACGCCAAACTCTCCTTTCTGTTGCACGCAGCTCTTGAATTTCACAGAACATTAATTCACAGTAGGGCGGACTGATCTGTTGATGAAACACATCTTGTGCCGTTTGCTTATGTTCATACTGAAAGGTGTTTGAGAAGTTAATGTCTGAGCAAAACTAAAGCGTTCATTATGCTTTTCATACACTGTGGCCTCAGATGTAAAATTTGTAATTGTTAATTTCTATGCATTTAATATTCTTTTGTAATTATGAGCATTTTAATAAATTCATTTTTACAAACAGTAACGGTGGTCCGCTCTGTGTTTATCTGAAAGATTTTTAAGGAAAACAAGTATATAGCTGCTACTTACTAATGACTGGTTATACGTTACTCAGGTGGCAAGTGTTAGCTGTTCAGCAGATTATATCTACATTTTCTTTTTCACAGCTACACTTACTTTGAATGTGGCTTTTCTTAGAAAAATGGAGGATGGGGCTTCAGCCGGGACTGCTGCCTTCAGATGCTGGGGCTGCACAGAGAGAAGCTGCAGACCCACCCACCTGCTCGGGAGGCCAGCGGGTCGGGGCAGGAAGAGGGGGGTCTCTATACCCGTGTGAGGGACACCTGCCCACTCGGTGACACTTCAGGGACCCCCACCCAAAGAGGACAGCTAGAGCGGCACTGTCCACAGCAGCCCTGGTACGGAAGGAAGAAATGACAGGATCTCATTACAGAACCCAAGCTGTTTTATTCTGCACACCTGATCCAGATTTTAACTCGTCCTGTCATCTGATTTTCTTGGCCAGTTTATGATTCATATATGCAAATTAAAACTCCAGGACAAACACATTCCATGACTGGGACCCAAGAAAGAAGCATGCGCTGTCACTGAATGGTACTCCGGGGGCCAGGACTAATGATGATCTTCCTCCACTCAAACATTAAAAGCCCAGCAAAAGGGCTACTAGAGATGTATTTCTAAGTTAAAATGCCTCATTTGGGGAAGATGTTGGGCGTGGACTCGTAAATAATTGGTAATAATCTGATTCTCTCCAGGCACCAGGTCCCATGTTTCTTATATGTAATTTCACCGCCAATGTGACTATCCCAGAGACCTTCAAAGTGGCTTTTTAAAAAGACATGACAAAATAAGTATGTGATTGTATAAGAAACGGGATACATTGGTATAAATCCCAAGCTTCAGAGTTCAAGGAAACTCTAGGCCCACCCTCTAGAGGTAGATAAATGCAGAATGCCACCGGCAGATGGTATGTCCAGAGACGACAGAGACTAGGTTTACGAGTATGTGTCTGCGGTACACAACGATCGTGTTTACCGTGGAGTGGGAGTTCATGCATACACCTTTTTGCATCCCCTCTTTGTGCTTCCACTCCAGGTCCCTTCCTGTTGTAGTTTGGGGCTTTGCAAGGGGAATACAATACAGGACACATTTTATAAGATTATTTTATGATGAATCGCCCAAAGAATCATACACAAAGTGCAGGAAATCTGTCCACACACTAAAGAACAAAGAGTCCAGCTGAGAGTCTGGACCCTAATATCCTGCATGAGTCCGGCTGAAGACCTGAAGCCCATAACGATGCTCCCCACGAGTCCAGCTGGAGGCCTGGAGCCCCCGATAGTGTCTCACGCAGGCCCGCTTCACAGATCTGCACTGGGAGGCCCAAAGATCAGTGGCGGAAGCTAGAAAGGCTGTGCCAGCGGGATGAAGGGTCTGTGCAGCAGGCTGAGGGGTCTGCACTGGAGCCAGGAAGCAACGCTCAAGGTAAGAGCCAGAGCTCCCCCAAAGGCACCACAACCATTTTCAATGACAGTGAGTCCCGAGTGCCTATGGCAATCAGGAAAGCCACTGTGACAAGCTTCTCCAGGAGACTGAGTAGTGTGCCATCCCCTCTGGAGCCAGGAAATTATCCTTGAGATGGGGACCAGAGCTCCCCAAAGTGAACCATAGCCATTCTCAGTGACAATGCAGTCCCAAGCTCTTCCTCCAACAAAAACAGCCAAGTTCATCAGGAAAGCCAACATGACCAGGTTCTTAGGCAGACCAGCCCAGGAAAGCCAGCAACTCCCTGCCAGCTTCCTAACTGCCCCTGCCAGCTCCCAACTGCCCCTGCCAGCTCCCAACTGCCCCTGCCAGCTCCCAACAGCCTCCAGAGCAGCTTCCCTACTAGCTGCTCTTTTCCAGTTCTGCCCCTATGCTGCTGGCAACAACCCCAGGTGGGCCTTCCACACCTGGCACCACACGCTCAGCTCAGCTGGGTGGGACAAGTTGGCCACCAGTTGGTGATCCACCACCCTTCCCCACTTGTAGAAATCTCCCTGTGTCCTATTATATATTACTTTGCTCTTTAAATTATTTATACTTCTAAGGCAAACCATGCAATGTTTTAGTACTTTGGATTTTTATTTTTTAATGTATTTTAGTACAGGGTCTACAGGGTCTCACTACACAGATCGGGCTCGTAGTGATTTTCCTGTTTCCAGCCTCCCAAGTGCTAGGATTACAGGCGCGTGCCACCACGCCCACTCTCAGTCAATGTCTCAGCACGCCCCAGAGATGGGGCTGGCACAGCATGCCAGGGATCCAGTCCTGGTCCCTGAGTGCCTAAGCAAGCACTTTAGTCCGCAGAGCTACCTGGCTGGCCCTAGTACCTTGAGTTTTTTAAAAGTCACAGGCACTGTATTAAAGTTGCAGTCAGAGGAGGTAGTTCTTTTGTGAAGCTGTCAGGTTCACAGTTCATTTATACACCTTACAAAATTTGCCTACACCATAAGAGACTTTGTTCCACTTGTAAATTGAATGAAACACATTAACATATCCACAGTGGTGGCCCAAGATGTACTGGAATGTTTTAAACTACCTCAAAATGACAAGTACTAAACGCAAGTGCCAGCATGCCCTTCACAAAGAACCACGCCATCTCCTTGATTATATATTTTTATCATTAATTTATTCTCTTATTTATTTGGCACAGGGTCTCGCTATGCAGTTCAGACTTGTAGTGATTCTCCTGATTCAGCCTCCCCAGTGCTGGGATTACAGGCATGCACCACCATGCCTGGTCTCAGTGGCCAGCACAGTGAGCCCAGGATTGTGGGACCAGCAGGGCATACATTACCAGGGGTCAAACTCGGGTCCTTGTGCTTACCAGGCAGGTGCTTAGACTGCTGAGCTATCCCCCCCAAACCATCCCTGACTATATGTTTAATAAACAACATTATCCTAAGAACATAACCAAGCGATGCGTACACCTTGTCCCTGCACAGTGGGCAAGTGGTCATGGGAGAATGCTGAACAAGAGACCGCACGGACCTCCTGAGCCCCAGAGAGAACTGAACAGCAGCCGAGTAGGAAACAAAACACCTTGGCACGTGCCGCTGTGGCTCCAGTGCCAGGGTAGGGCACTCTCCCCTTCGCAGGGGTAGTGGTAAAAACCCCAGCAATCTGGGTGTGGATGCCGGCGGTCCCGCTGCTGCAAGGATGCTTGGTCTCCCAGGCACAGGGCCTCCGGAGCGAGGACCCCGAAATCTGCACGCTAGACTTGCTCTGGCGCGGGGCTCACTGCGCCCCCTGGTGACTTCCTAGGCGGCTGCAGCCAGCAAGCATCCTGAGCAGGAAAGCACGGTCTGAGTTTGGACTATTCCTGGGCTCAGCGGGCCTGGTGTCTTCCCACCTCAGAGCCCGGATGGTCCGCTGCACTGGCTGGGCAGGTCAGCCGCCTCCCAAACTGGAGTTGGCTGGGCATGTCAGACCCTGCCCCACTTGGTGGCCTGCAGTGCCAGAGAAGGCCTGTGATGGGAGCGACAGAAAGCACTGCACTCAAGAATCAAGAAGTCAGGAGCTTTCTGTCTTAGACTACGAGCAGGGCCACGCATGGGCTCCTGCCAGTGCTGGCACTGCAGGTGGCTCAGCTCCTACCACCCTTGCCCGCTGCGCGGCGCTCAGCAGCAGGTATGAATGGAGTTCCTGCCGCTGCTCTGCCCACTGGGACGTGCTGAGGAAGCTTGCGTGGCTCCAGCTCCAGCTGCGGCCTGGGTTTGGGCATGCGCAGGAGGAGGGCAAGTGCAACATGGCCCAGCCCTGGCCAAGATCCTGCCCCACGGGGGACACTGCTAACACCGTGGACGCGAGCACCATGCTGCCTGCTGCCGCGCGCTGTGTGGATCCTGCTTGTCTCATCATGCACTGAAGTCAGGGCTGGGAGTGGGCACCACGGGGGACGCTGCCACCTCAGAGACCACCATGCCTCATGGCTCCTGCAGGTCTTGCCACCACCACTCCCAAGTGGCACTTATCCCATGGGCCTGTGCCACCAACTGGCCACAGGGCAAGTGCTTCAGGCCCTTCACCACTGCTGGTGCTGTCTGTGTCAGAGACCCTGCTAGGAGCAAAGCTGGCATCAGCAGGGTTTGAAGGAAGCCCCTTTGCCCAACCAGGCCACCCTCCCATTGCAGGTGCAGCCAGCGTCCTGCACACCACTCCCGTCACTGACAACAGCCTCGATGCTAGACTGTCCCCCTCTGGCGCCCTTCAGAGACAGCTGTTCCCTCCAGCTGCCCAGCTCTGACACAACCTAAGCCAGGAATGAACCAAAGAATTTGGGGAGACCGCCCTGTGGCGCCTGGCTAGTCGCAGCCAGCAAGGCCTGACAAACCATCATTCCGTAGACACCCCCGGGAGAAAGCCACAACCTAAGAAGGCCACCGTATAAAAGTGGTCAAGATATCCAACCTACTAGATGGGCAAAGCTCAACGTAGGAACATGAAAAACAAGAAAAATGGTATCTCCAAAGAATATAAGGGATTCCAGAGAAATCAAAATGGATGAAATGTCTGATAAATATTTAAATGCTTATTTATTTTAATGACTATGTATAAAGCTCAGTGAGATCTGAGAGAATACAAATAAATGGTTTGATAAAATTATGAAGACTATGTGAATCAGAAAGTCAGCTGCGAGAGCCAGCCAAATAGCTCAGCAGATTAAAGCATATGCAAACAGGCGCAAGGGCTGGGGGTTCAATCCCAGGGCCTGCCATGCCAGCGTGCTGAGACAGCAATTGAGACTGGGAGTGGTGGCACATGACTGTAATCCCAGCTCTTAAGAGGCTGTGAACACCCTGTAGGCCCTTCCCTAAAAGTACAAAAATAAATAAATATAAATAAAAGAAATTCAGCAACGAGAGGGAGATTTAATAAAAGATCGAAGAGGCCTTTGAAATACTCAGGTCGTACAGAGGGGCGGTGGGGGGGCTGGGCAGGCAGGCA